CTACAGCGTGAGTGAAAAGCCAGCGGCTCCCAGCCGAGGAGGCTGGTTCTCTCCCTTTCAGGTCAGGCCGGGGTGAGCTATGTAACAGGCTGACTCATGCGGGATACGTCTGCAGCAGACACACCCTTTGTAGGTTTCTGGAGAAAACAACCCACCATTCCTGGCAAGTCCATTCAGAACCCAAACCGGCCACGCCGGGGAGGGGAGGGGGCGTGTACCCACAGCTCCACTCGAACAATCACAGAGCAAGGAAACAGATCCCCTGTTCACCGCAGCGAGGTGAACCCCACGCCTCTCGCCTCAGTTGGCACGCCGGGGAGGGGAGGGGGCGTGTACCCACAGCTCCACTCGAACAATCACAGAGCAAGGAAACAGATCCCCTGTTCACCGCAGCGAGGTGAACCCCACGCCTCTCGCCTCAGTTGGCTTCTGACAGGGCCTGACCCTGTGAGGGGCGAAGACACAGCCTCAGCTCCGGCCTGCGCCAGGAGACGTGCCGCATGCTGCCAGGCTACGCCACTCGCTTGCTGGTGATATTACTGGGGCAAATCTACAGCTCTGACCGCCCGGTGGGCCTGGTCACCAGCAGATGGAAATGGGTGAACACGGATTGAAGACAGTTGATTAACGAGAGCTGAGGAACCGACCGTATCGCTCTCACGCTGCATTTTCCACCAGCAAGGGGCCCGGCTGGCTCGAAACCTGATTAGGGCCCACACGCGACATGGTTAATTCTCAGAAACCAGGCGTCACCCCGGCCAGCTCCCTTGGCACAGACAGCCCCAGCCCCATGGGCCCCCTGGAGGGGAGCAAACCAGCCAGGAGGGGCCTGCGGGGAGCAGCCCAAGACGCCCTGAGGGAACCAGGGGCAGTTACAGAGGGACCAGCGAGGTGGGGAGGAGCAGCTTTGAATGGGGGGAGGAATTGTTGGAGCTCAGACATTGCCCCCCAGTCACACAGGGAGCAACGACGAGCCCTGGCTTGGGCAGTTCCTGACAGCCCCAGGAGAAGAACATCAGAGTGGCCAGACGGGGTCAGACCAAATGTCCATCCAGCCCAGGGCCCTGTCTGCCCACAGCAGCCAGTGCCAGGTGGCCCGGGGGGAAGACACTGGGAGTTCCTAGTGCCCCACAGGTGGGAAATCTCACCCAGCCTCAGCCTCAGCACTTCATTGTAGCCAAAAGGTGCCTGGGGAAAGGAATTGTTTTTGCATTCGTAGCCGATTCAGGAAATCCAGCGGCCCTGGGGCTGTGAACAGCCAGCTCGCCTTGGAGCCGACTCAGCCTGCTCCCCCGGTGAATGCGGAGGTGGAGAGAGACATGTTACTGCTGGTCCCACTGCGGCAAGAGCCCGTTTCACTCTGCTCTGACCCCAATCCCAAGGGCGCGTCGCGTGGCACCAGCTGGGGAGCTCTCCCTGCGCACGCCACGGGGCTCGCGGTCAGAGTACAGTTGTGGGGCATCTCCTCTTACCTGAGCACTCCGGCCGGGCTCTGGCACCCGCTCCGAAGTTACAAGCGAGTTCCCGCTGGTACTGGGTCGTCAGGGCTCTTCCAAAGCGGGGCGGAGTCAGAGCCCAGGGCTGGGAATGACCCTGCAAGGTGCAATGATCACAGCAGCTGCCTGAGGGGGAGAAGGAAGTCAGGCTGCCTTGTGTGACTAACCCGCTGTGTCCGTATCGCCTGCACCCTTAGCTTGTGCCCTTTACACCCTCCACCGCTCCACGGAGGTTTTGGTTTTCTTACGTGGGAGGCTCAGACCGTGTCTACACCAACCCCAGCCGGCAGTGAAACCAGCCCACTGCAACCCTCCATGCAGACACCTAAACCCCACATTTGCAGGGTGCAGTTGACCTCCTGCTGGGAAGGAGGCTGTTGCATCTTAGCCATTGGTAAACTCCTTGAGTCCTCCACGAAGGTATCTGGAGTCAAAACCAATGGGAGCGTTCCACCCATAGCTAGACAAACATGGGCAAAGTGCACCTGTGAAAATCGTGGCTTAGGAGGACTTTCACCATTTGCACAAGGGTTCAGCCTAGGGGCAGCTACTAACACAGACAGAGCCTGGCACTTTTAAGAGAGTCTGTAACCAGCTGCAATGCTGTTAATACTTGGTAACAGACCAGGCACCTCACATGCCAAGAACCTGACACACTAGCAGAATCCCACAACACTAGGACTGGAAGGGTCATCGCGTCCAGTCCCCTGCCCTCACGGCAGGACCAAGCACCATCCAGACCCTCCCTGACAGGTCTCTCGCTAACCTATCCTCAGAGGTCAAGGAGAACCCAGCAACCTCCCGGGTCCAAGAAGTACCTGTCGTAGTGGCAGAAGTAAAGGCGGTTCAACTCGTGCCCAAGGAGAACAGAAACAAAAGAAAAGCAGCAACACAGAAGACTGCAGAGAGAAAAGGGAAAAAGCATCAAATATCAGAACTGATAGTATTAGAAATTAGTATTCAGAGGGGAGACCGTCCGACCCTAATTCAACCAGGTATCCTCGTAATAAACCCAAAGGCCAAGCCATCCGGCAAAGAGCCCTCACACGTATAACCCTTTGTGTACCCGTTAACCATCGAACAACGTCATTGCGAATTCCTGATGGCACCAATGGGAGGCAGGTCTCCCTCAGTTCCAGTGTGAACCCAGAGACTGACAACCTCCTTACTCCCCAAAGCCTTTCCCCCTCCTGCTTGCTGGCCAGGCAATGCGAGACCCCCTGTAGGGAGCAGGGGACAGTCACAGAGTGAACAGGAACAAACAGATTCAATCAGCTGCCTCAGAGGAAACTACAAACCCCCACAGAGGGTGCAGGTGGGCGACTGTCCCACATCCACACACATGTGACCCCGCTCAGCACTGGCCAGTGTTGTACGACCCAGCCCTTCCCCAAATCCCTCTTTAGCACAAGCCATAAGAACTGGCTGGTTTTAAACTCCACGTAAATAAGAACATCAGCGCGGCCAGACGGAGTCAGACCCAAGGTCCATCCTGCCCAAGGTCCCATCTGCCCACAGCGGCCAATGCCAGGGGCCCCAGAGGGGACGGATGCATCTTGCTGAGAATTGGTCTCAGTGACTTCTTGTGGCAATGCGTTCCCCAGTCAAATCTGTACTGCAGACAATGCTATTTTATGTCACCAGTGTTTTTAAAATTGCTGCCTTGCAGATTCCTGGATTGTGCCCTTCTTCTTGTGTTAGGAGACAGGGTGACCGGGCATCTTTGCTCTGACACTTCATGGGCAAGACGTTATTTGATAGACTTGTATCATGCCTCCTCTTACTCATCTCTGCGAAGGCCAAGGCGACACCATTCATGATTCACTGCTCTGTGGAAGCAAGACCTGACATAATCCACTTAATACACCAGGGCAAGATAGTTACCCCAAAAATGGAAGCTGGAAAACCCCAAACTCGCAGATCATTAGTTTTCTGGCCTGACGCATGCAGAGTAAACCCAGACAGGACTTATAGACGTATGCTGGAAATGTGCCATAAAAATGCATCTGAACCAGGCGTAACAGGGAGAGCTCGGAACATGGGTTTGTGCAGACAAAAAGGCCAACCTCTCAGACTGCATGTGGGCCATTTGTCTGCATCCAGAGCTACAGGAAGAGCAACTTTGAACGGTGGCAATCACCAGTGTGGGAGAACACAGCATGGCGCCTACATCAGACAGCAGGGAGACTCCACCCCGCGGGGAAAAGAAACGCTCTCTGGGTTTGCTGTTCAAACAACACCTCTGGAAGGTTTCCTGGGCCATACAAAGGAAGGGAGAGAGTCCCACAGGTATCGCTTGCTGGGCAGGTGTCAGAGGCCGCGGCTCTAGCACACGTAAGAAAAGGTTGAAAGCTCAGAACGGAACGGAAGCGAGGAACCTGCTTAGGCAAAGGGAGACGGTGAGTTAGGTTTAGTGTTAGAGGCAGATTTCTACTTGGTCTGTTTGTGACCGTTTCTATCTTCGTCCCGTACCTGACCTCACTTCAAACCTCGTTCCTTTCTAGCCAAGCGACTGGTTTTACTTTTTAGCTAAACCAGCCCCCGGCCTGGACTGAAGTGTTACTGCCAGGGAAATAACAAGGCGCTGTTTCTGTCTCTTTAAAAGAGCAGCGGACTGAACTTTCATGAGAGCTCCAGAAAAGGCCCGGGCACTGCAAGGAGGCAGCTTGGGGGAAATGCGGGACTGGGGAGGTCGTGGTGCGACTGCAAGCAGTAAGTGGGTGCTGGACGCCAGGGCTGCATGCGGGGCCGTTGGTATAGGGGCTAGGAGTCACAGCACAGTCCCTCCGTACTCATGGCTCCCAGCACTGCGGGGCAGACCAGGCCACACTCCCTTAGGAGTCGCAGTTGGATCCCAGAATGTCACAGCGCACGATCCACACCCTGACGACCTCTCCTTGTGTGACCGATTGCCCAGGCCCCTAAATCATTCTCAGGAATCTTCCCCAGACTCCTTTGCGAGGGGGGATCCAATCTGCCTCCTTCGACATTTCCCCGGGAACCTTGTGTTGGGCCCAGAGCACTGTGCTCTGCCCCTGGGAAGATGGAAAGTGGGAAAGGACACGGCGAGGTAACCGCAGACCGACCTGGATCTGTTCTAATTAATAAATAAACACACTTGCTCAAATAACAAAACCCAGAGGAAGAGCCAATGGAACTGATGCCCAGTCAGGGAAGGTTTTAGGCCCCGATCCTGCAAACGGCTCCACACAAGCCAGGGCAGAACAGCGCGAGAGTCAGAATCGTAGCAAGACCAGAAGGGCCAGCAGCCCATGGGAACGGACCTCACGGATGGCACAGGATACTGACACCCTCTGATGCCCACACACTTAACTCGGCCGGGGCTGGTTTGCCCCCACACAGCGCACTGCAGGGGCAGGGTCTTAACAATGTTTTCATCATTAGAATCTGAAATCAAGTTCTCCGGCCCAACCACTCGCAGTTATTGGACTCCCGAGTCTCTTCCAGCTCTGTGCTTCTACCACTCTACCCTGGGATTCTAGCTGAGCTACGGCACCTGCAGAGGGGTTAGAACCCCAGGGCGGGAGAGACCTCAGGAGTCCCCGAGTCCAGCCCCTGCCCAAAGCAGGACCAACCCAACTCACTCAGCCCATCCAGGGCTTGGTCCAGCTGAGACTTAAACACCCCTAGGGATGGAGATTCCACCCCCTGAGAGCCCTCAGGAGTCCCCGAGTCCAGCCCCTGCCCAGAGCAGGACCCACCCCAACTCAATCATCCCAGCCAGGGCTTGGTCCAGCTGAGACTTAAACACCCCTAGGGATGGAGATTCCATTCCACTCCCCAGGGAACCCGGCCCATCGCTTCCCCACCCTCCTAGGGGAATCGTTTGTCCTATTCTCCAACCTAGACCTCCCCCACTGCTGCTTGAAGAGGATCTGAAGAGGAGGGTCTAGAACTTCTTTTCACCCTTTGTCATAGCACAGAGCACAGGGCCACACAAGGTTGGAATGTCAGTTGATTTGAAACAAACAAGGACACTTCCTGTTTTCCTACCGAACACACACTGGGACCTCCATGGGGAACACAAAAAAGGATGAAAAATCAAACAGAACAACCGGCAGTTGGGAAGGGAAAGGAGCCCTCGGGCCTCAGGGCAGGTGCGACCTCTGATGGGGTCAGGAAGAACGTGCCCTGCACACAGGTTACTTCCCAGTCTCCACTGTACCGGGGGTTGCCCCTTGCTCTGCTGCAGCGGGGGCTGGCCACGGT